AAATTGTATCTCATCCTGAAAAAGACTGCTAGTCAGCTAGTGATGCTGCTGTAAGAAGTGAGTCTTGTGTTCTCTCTAACCAGCCCTGGAAAATTTAGGCATTTCTTACACGTAGAAAGTTGTTAGACTGTATAGTTGATATATCATATATTATGCCTCCATAAATTTTGCCTATGTGACATGACATCATTTCTTATCTGCATGTACATCATCATTACACTTTGTGCGTATTTATTTTCATCTGCAAAGTTGTGCTTACCTGAGTCATGGCCCTGTTATGTCATGAATGCAAAATACCTTTTTCAGAATCTTGCATATCAAGTATGTTCTTTTCCAAGTATGCTATGGTTCATTTCATTTAAATAGTTCAAACTATCTTATTTTTCATCTCTATAGAAGTTTTCTGACAGCACAATTGGGCTATTTGAAGTCATCTTGCCTATTTTAGGTTTGTCTTCTGTTAAAAAAGGTACATATAAATAATGACTAGAAGGTAACTCATTATGTATTTGCTTATTCAGTAAAATATTAATATCCTGCCCTGCCCTTAATATCCTGAAAACAAGTTACACAATTTAAAGCAATAAAATTTAATTAACTAACACTTCAGTAATAAGTTTAAACAAGATTTAAAAGATCTGAAACTTTAAAAAAATTATTTAAAATCATATTTGGAATGAATTATGAGGCCCAAAGGCTTTGATGAATAGCCATGTTTTAACTTGGTGTCTCAATTACATTGGTGCCACTCAGGCCTCCAGGGACAGAGCACTCCACAATTGGGGTACCATGGCTGAGAAGGCCCTCTAAAAGAGAAATATAGAGTGTGTACCCTTACACACAGAAGGTCTCTAAACCAGGGGTAGGCAACCTTTCCCCTTTAAGGGCCGAGGGACTTCAGCTCCCAGAATCCCAGGAGCTATTGGCCAACATGGGACTATTGGCCAACATGGCTGAGGCTTCTGGGAGTTGAAGTCCCTCGGCCATTAAAGGGGAAAGGTTGCCTACCCCTGCTCTAAACTGAGTAACAAAAAAAGACTAATCAGGAGTGTCAGGTACTTGTGAATGCTTATTTAACAATAATACAAAAACATATCAAACCATAAATTACATGTATTTACTACAATAATATAATATCAAGCATCCAGTAGAATAATGAACTATATAAGCCATCTAGAAAATGATCATACATTAAAAATATTGTAAAGTAACCATAATGTGAGGTATCCCATCTCTAAAACTTAACCAATCATCAAGGGAACAATAAGAAATGCATAAGGTAATGTCCACAATTCAGATGTAAGTCCATTTAACAAAGATAAAAAGTTCGTGTAGTTTATGATGTAGGTTTTGTGAAACTGGAGGTCTGAAGATCCTATGGCTTAAAAAAATAACTTTTTAGAACATTAGGCCCTGTCCCATGTCCCACTTCAGTGTATCAATCTCACTGGTGGGATATGAAGTTGGTCCCTCGCTTGCAGATCTTAATCCTTGGGCTGGCACATATGGGAAGAGCTGTATTCTCTTGAAGTCCCAAGCCATGTACGGCTTTAAATGTCATCAGAAGCACCTTAAATTCAGATCAAAAACATATCGGTAGCCAGTGCAATTCTTTTAAGTGTGACATGATGTGCTGTCTATATAGTACTCCAGTCAGCAGTTGAGCTGCTGCATTTTGTACTAGCTGCAGCTTCTGAGCCTTCAGTGGTGGCCCCAAGTGCATAACTGCAGTAGTTTGATAAGTCTAACTTTATATAGAATCACTTTCTTTAATGTTGAGTGGGCTATACTTAAGCAGATTAGGGGAAAAATTAATTCAGCCACAAAAAATGAATAGCAAAGGACAAAAGTTATAGCATAAAAAGAAAAGTTGAGATTCTTACTCTTCTGCTTCATTCCATTCCTGCAGTCTTTCAGTCCATATTCTTATGAAAAGCCTTGGTGTTTCCTAAAGCTGTGTCACGCTTGTTCAAGTTTTTTTCTTTTGACAAAACATTTTGTGTTCAAATCCATCATGGCATAGGGTTATGGCTCTGAAAATGAGGGTGCATTCCCTGCTCACCCATGAAAACCAATTGGATGACCCTGGAGAAGGCACATGCTCTCATGGGAAGGCAATGACAAATTTCCTCTGAAAAAATCTTACCAAGAAAAACCCATGATAGGCTCAACATACGTTGAAAACAACTTGAAGGCACACAGCAACGACAACAAATCCATATTATCGAGTTTCTATCTGCTTTACAAATTGAATATAGATCTGAGAAGTTCCCATTTACTGAGTCAGACCAGTATGAAATCAAATCTTACATTTTCTGCTGAAGTAATGGCTCTTCAAGCTGTGAAGTTGAAGGCTTTCACAGCCGGCATCCATAGGTTTTTGTGGGGTTTTCGGGCTGTGAGGCTGTGTTATAGAAGAATGTATTCCTGATGTTTCGCCTGCATCTGTGGCTGGCATTTTCAGAGAATGGTGGCATGAAGGTGTGTGGGGTAATATATACTGTGTGACCTTTGATTGAGAGAATTAGCATGTAAATCTGCATATTGTTCTGTTGAGGCAAGGCCTCTGGGTGGAAGGATATGTGAGGAGGATTAGTGTCTATTTAATTAATGGTCCATTGTCAGCTGGGAATTAGCATGTAAATCTGTGTGTGGTTCTGTTGAGGCAAGGCATCAGGATGGAAAGATATGTGTAAGGCAAAACCATCACTCAGCAACATAACCAAAAAAGAAAGAAAAGCCATCAAGGATCTCAGTTCGGACCCAGAAATTATCATTCTCCCAGCAGACAAAGGCAATGCCATGGTAATCATGAAAACTTAACAATACAAACAGAAAATCAAGAAACTCTTGGCTCCCGCAATATACAAAAAACCTCAGGCAAGACCTGACCAACAAAATCACCAGGAAAACAAATATCTTGATCAAGAACTCATCAATTCAGCCAACCACATGCCAGAGTCTTTGCAAATCAGAGGCTCTCCCACCAACACTATATGGAGTTCCCAAGATCCACAAGGATTCCAGTCCACTCTGACCCATAGTGAGCACCACTGGATCCCCCACATATGACTTGGCCAAGTTTCTGGCCACACAATTACACACCCATACAGGGCAAACCCACCATGACATCAAGGGCTCATCTCACTTCATAGAAAAAAATCAACAATCTAGAACTAAAATCTGGTGACAGACTAATCAGCTTTGATGTGGTCTCCCTGTTCACCAAAGTCCCCATAATGGACACTATGGCACTCATCCAACAAATTTTTCCAGAAGACATCACAGCCCTGTTTGAACATTGCCTCACCACAAGCTACTTCCAGTGGGACAATGGATTCCAGAAGCAGAGAGATGGAGTAGCCATGAATAGTCCTCTGAGCCCCATGATAGCAAACTTTTACATGGAACATTTTGAAAAGCAAGCTCTGGAAACAGCACCAAAAAAAGCCCACAACATGGTTCTGATATGTGGATGACACTTTCATCATTTGGAGCCATGGAGGAGAAGAATTGACCATGTTTTTGAACCATCTGAACAACATCCACCCAAACATCCAATTCACAATGGAAAAAGAAAAGGAAGGAACATTGCCATTCTTGGATGTCCTGGTCATCCGCAAACCAAACCAACAATTGGGCCACACAGTATACAGAAAACCCACACACATGGACAGATACCTACAAAAGAATTCCAATCATCACCCAGGACAAAAAAGAAACATAATAAAAACACTGGTAGATTGAGCAAGAAGGATCTACCTGTAAGATGAACTGAATCACCTAAACTGGGCTCTACAAGCTAATGGTTACGCCAGCTCAGACATCAGAAGAGTGGCCAGATGCAGGGGAAAAACACCACAGGAGTGAAGAAAAACAACCCAAAGGAAAAGTATTTTTACCATTCCTCAAAAGGAGTCACAGACAGAATAGGGAAACTGATGAGGAAATACAACCTCCAAATGATGTACAGACCAATCAAGAAAATCCAGGAAATGCTGTGCTCAGCAAAGGAAACATCCTATCATGACTGCAGGAGTTTACCGCATACCGTACAGCTGTGGACAAGTTTATATAGGGACCACAAAACACAGTGTTCAAACGCAAATCAAGGAACACGAGAAACACAGGAGACTGGGCCAGACTGAAAAATCAGCGGTAGCAAAACACAATATAAACCATCCTGGGCACAAAATGCTATTTGAAAACTGAAATTCTGGACCATGCCAACAACTATTGGGTCAGAATGCACAGGGAAGCCATTGAAATCCACAAACACCTGGACAGTTTCGACAGGAAAAAAGAAACCCTGAAAGTAAACAAAGTTTGGCTACTAGTCCTCAAAAACACCAAAATCAGGACTCTGCAAATGCGAATGAACTTCACCCAGGGTCAGTGGGTTTCCCAGCAGATAATGGACCATTAATTAAATAGACACTAATCCTCTTCACATATCCTTTCACCTTGAGGCCTTGCCTCAACAGAACAATACACAGATTTACATGTTA